TATTATTATTATTATTATTATTATTATTATTATTATTATTATTATTACTGTGTTCTATAAATTATAACAAAAACGGAGACAATAAGTTTGTGCTTATTTTGAGTAAAAAAATGGGTTTTTGAAGGAAAAGAAATGAAGAAAGTTAATTTAAGGTGATTTCATCCCAAATAATCCAGATTCATGTGAACACGCGCACTTTCTTCTCATGTCCTGATTAATCAATAAATGGTCAAATTTGGTAATTTTTCTCTTGTTTGTAATAAACAAGTTTGATTATGAGGTACTCCCTCCCCCTCCTGACACAGTCTGGTCCAGACTGAGGGAACTCCCCCACTTGAGGACAAGCTGTCAACGCTTGTGAATACTTTTACAGGTGTGCGTGCGCCGGCTTGTCTATAAACTTCTGCGCCTTTATGGCTACAGTGGAGGCTCAGAAAGCCCGTGCACACCCCCGTCCCGCCCCCGCAAAGGTAATAAATCAGGTTCCTGACAAAACTGCTCGGATCAGAAGAGTTCAGGCAGAAGATGAAAAACTTGTTGGAAAGAATCCCGGACTGAGTCCACCGTGTCAGACCCACCTTCAGCGCGAGCCAAGGATCGTCTGGATGTTCCTCTCCGTGAGCGCGTGCTGCAGCAGCTGCTGCGCGTTTTATACATCCGGCTCGGTTCGGTCCACCTTCACAGGATGACGCGAACCAGTCCCGTTCATTCACAACGAAGAGCGACTGAGGGGCTCAACATCTTCACCGAGACATAGCGCGCGCGTGTGACCTGGTGGCATCCAATAGAGAGGAAGCTCAGGTAGCCAATCAGAGCCCAGGATCTAACCACAGGTCACCGCAGACTGAAGGAAGGAAACATAACTAAATACATATGTTTTTGTTCTTTACGCGTAATAAAAACAGAACAAGAACAATATTATTATTATTATGATTATCATAATCATCATATTTATCATCATCATTATTAGTAGTATAATAATTATAATTATTATCATTATTATTATATCCTCAACAACATCATCATCATTATCATTATTATCAATATTATTATATGATTATAATAATTATTGTTATTATCATTATTATTATTATCATCATCATTATAATATTTATAATAATAAGTATTACTGCTATCATAATTTTTGTAATTATTTATAATAATAATAATTATTATTGTTATTATTATTAATATTATTATTATTATTATTATTATTATTATTATTATTATTATTATTATTATTATTATTATATTATATGAGGAAGAACAGATAATGCAAATTTAAACCAAACATTTATTTATTTGCTTATATTTTCATTAATTTACTTTTCCTCTTTGTATAAATTTTTCTCCCTATTATAAAAAAGCAATTAATTTTCTGTTATTAATTGTTCATTTCATTTCAAACATAGTTTAAGTTCATCAGTATTTATTTATTTGCTTATTTTTCGCTGCAGTCACTAGAGCCAGATGTAGAAGCGATGCTTTCTGTCACTGAGCACCAGGACCATCACTCTGCTGCTCCTGTGAGGAGCTCGGTCTGATAGATACACCTCCTCTAAGCTTATTATGACTGTGAACTAACAGGAGTTCCAAACTGAGCTCATGTCGATTGTTTAGTGACCTGCGGGACAGAGAAGCAATGAAGCCATTGTGTCATTAATCACACTTGATAGTTTATATTTTGTTTTCTATTTTTTTCAATGAAAAAAAAAATAATAAAAAAAAAATATAT